ATAGTGTAGTATATTCTAGGAGACGGCTAAATTTCAACCGAATTGGGCTCGTATATCCTATTTCACGAGTATCCATCATGGTAGAATGACAGCCGATTATCTAGTAATATCTCAAAATTCTCCATATCGGCACAGGACATATAATTCTGACGGATTCGTCAGCGCCAGGTAGTGAGAGTTGTATTTTGTTTTGGTTTCTTTGTACGCTAACAGCTCTTTTATTTATAAAAGTTCATTTGCATACAAACAGCAAACACAAAAATGTAACTTGCTGGTCAGCTGTTCAGCTCAGTAGACGTCAAAAGCGTGATGGATACTTGTGAAATAGGGTATAGCGGATTTCAGAAAAATGGAAAGAGCAATATCGGTTGGTGATTCGACATACTTGTTTTTGGAAGGGAAATCGCGCAGCGGAATTAAAAAGCGCTGGGATACTGTATACGGTGACCCTTCTCCTTCCATTGCGACCGTCAAAAATTGGTCTAACAAGTTTCAACGTTGTCGCACGTCGGTTTTTGATGAGCCACGCCCAGGTGCCCCGGAAACGGCTACCACGGAGGATAACGTTTCAAAAATCCACTATCTCGTATTGGCAGGTTACCGATTGAAGGTGCGCGAGATAGCTGAGACAGTAGGCCTCAAAAGATATTGTGGGTCATATCCTGCATGAGATATTGGGCGTGAGAAAGCTGTCTGCGCGATGGGTGTAGCGTTTGGACACTCCGGGCAACAAGCGCTACCGTAAGACCATTTTAGAACAGTGTTCGACGATAGTTAAGCGCAATCTGAAATAGTTTCTGCGTCGATTCGTGACCGTCGACAAAACAAGGATCCACTGGTACATACCAGAGACCACAGTCGAACAGTGGCCTTCACCCGGCGAACGTGCTCCGAAGGAAGCGAATACTCGAAAGGTGATGGCCACCGTTTTCTGGGATTCACAAGGTTTGATCTACATCGACTACATGGAGAAGGGTAAAACGTTTTGGCGAAGAGAAAAGTGTTTTTCGACCAACGCACCAGCTTATATATCCGCTGTCGCTACGGCCAAATTACGAACTGCTGTCCTATCTACCGTATTCTCCAGATTTGGCCCCGTTCGAGTTCTTTTCGTTTTCAAGCTTGATAAAGTCACTCGCCGAGCAGAAATTTGAGTAGAATGAGGAGGTCTACTTTGCAGGTGTTTTTAACAAACGAGTTAAATAAGTTGAAGCATCGCTGGGTCAAGTGTATCGAACTAAAAGAAGACTATGTTCAAAAATATATCGTACTTTTCCAAAAATTTTGTTTTTCTTTTTCACAAAATAAAATAGCGTTGTAGGTTGTCCCACGCAACGCCGCCATCAGTTCATAAACTATCAAGTTTAGCACAAGTTAAGCCCACTGAGGAAAAAGCGGATCAAGTCAGTTAAAGAGACCCATAAAAATAGTCCATAAACATGCTTTCCATGCCCTGTCGGTAGTACGATCCATCTGGCGCGTAGCCCATTCTCACACTTGACCGAACGACGCGGCAGCACCTAAAGTATATTCAGATAAGAGATAGACCGGATGTAAACAAAAAGTTCGGGTGATTTTCACGCTAACGCCGCCGTCTCGACGTAAAACAGGAGCCCTCATTGGTCAATTCGCAATTAAATGCCTATGCCGAGCGGCAGAGCAGTCGTATCAAGGCAGAGTCACATTCAGGTTCAGACCTGTTACGTATGTCGTGTGCATCATTGCAATTTGATATTTCTTTGGACGTTTTCGTTTGTTATCTTATTAAGTTGTTGAGTTTGTCGTTGTTATTGTTATACCTTGTTATTGATTGTTATTGTTATCAACTGCTTGCGCAAAATGCCCAGTAGTACAGATACTGCCGATGAAGTTGTAAACTCCTGTAGTCCACCTAGGAAACGCTCTAAAAAAAGACACCTGAGTGCAGAAATGAAAGAGGTCATTTTGAATATATATAAGATCGAGCGTGAGGAGAACGAGGCATCAACCATCAAAGAAATTGTTGTGAAGGTTTCTCACAAAGTTGGGGTGTGTCGCGTGGATGTTTTATTGTCATTTTCATTTGTTAGAACTTTTTTAAGCCATGTTTTTATGTGTTTTCGATATTACAATAATTTTTTAATATAATCTTAAAATATGTCGAATATTATAAACTTAAAAAAAGTTACTAAGTTTTATATTGTGTACCGTTCCTAATATTTCTAATCATTTTAATTCATACTTTAAGCTTTATAAAGTTATAATTTGTTAATATTAATATTTGCGCGTATTTCAGGTTCCTGATCATTCATTTTTTAAAGGTTTATAACTTTAAATTAAATTGTGAAGCGCTGAGTAATCATACGACGTTCAATATTCTTTCTTTCAATATGACTAAATAATCCCAATTATAGCAATCTGATACTCATGTCTCAATGTTTTTTCGCTGAATGTGATGAAAACATTTGAAAAAGGTTCGCTTATTGAAATAAATCTACATCAGTTAGTACTTCGATTTCCAGGTAAAGGGAAAAGGCTCATTATCTGCCATATTGGCAGTGAGGATGGATTTGTTGTTGACGGTCTGTGGTGCTTTGAGTCTAAGAAAACTGGAGATTACCACGAAGAAATGAATGGCGAATCGTTTGAACAGTGGTTTTCAAAAATTTTGCCGAACTTAGAGGAAAACGCAGTAATTGTGTTGGATAATGCGCCTTATCATTCTCGAAGAATGGAGAAGGTCCCAACAACGGCTTCAAGGAAAGTTGATGTTCAAAATTGGCTCCGCTCGAAAAATATCAACTTTGAAGAAGCAATGCTGAAAGTACAATTATTAAGAATTGTCAAGGATCGCAAGGCGGAATATCAAAAATACGCCATTAACGAAATGGCAGCAAGTCAAAATAAAACTGTGCTCCGTTTACCTCCATACCATTGCGAGCTCAATCCCATTGAGCTCATATGGGCAGAGGTTAAAAATTATATAGCTAAGCACAATACAACTTTTAAATTTTGTGACCTCAAAGGACTTTTCAAAGAAGCACTAGAATTAATAACAGCGCAAAAATGGGAAAACTGTATTAAGCACGTGAAAGACAAAGTTGAAAAGAGAATGTGGGAACTGGACAATATTTTAGAGGAACAAGTCGAGCCATTCATGATTGACGTTGGTGCTTCAGGCAGTAGCGATGATGAAAGCTCATCAAGCTCATCTTTCCAATAAAAGATGTCGTTCATCAAATTCGGTAAGTTATAAGTAATTATAAAGCTACTGTATTTTTTAATTAATTATTGACATTTTTAAACCCATTTTGGCAAAACCTATTTAAGAATCTACTTTCTGACAATGTTCAACCATGCACTTTTTTACGTTTTGAACGTTTTAATTTGGTTGCATATTTACCTAGAAATCAAAAAATATACTAATCAATATTCTAAAAGCAATTTTAAGAGATATACGATTATTTTTAATTTAGGCTAATTTAAACGCCATTTTGAGATTATATTCGACTGTATTTCACCAAACATCAGGCGGCATCCGAAGCTGGAAATCGAAGCGAAAATTTTGAAGCCCTTATGTATATTTACAACATTATATATTTCTTACCCCACCCCCACATGATCCTATATCCATCACCAATCGTATACACATCGAATTGTGCTAATTTACTACAAAGTTACGCAAAGCAGCATCTACTATCTAAAATATGTACTGCGTGACTCTTAATACGTCCCTGCCGAATGTTACAGCGTTCGATGATCACGTGGTCTTGTTTATGTCCGGTCTATCTCTTATCTGAATATACTGTAGTGCAGCATCCCTGCAGTACTGGCAGGGCACAGAACTAGATCGGCATGCGCTCCCCGGTGAACCTAGCTAGCATAAGCAGAAGCGCCTATCGAAAAAATTTACCAAAGTTTTAAAGTCAAATGTACGGGGAAATCTATATTGTACGAAACATGTCTAATAGGTGTGTAGTATTACCAAGGTTGGTAAATATACTAACATCAAAAAGTTGCGATATATCCTCCCCCGTCACTTACAACCTCCAATTTTTAACCCTATTTTTTTCGTGTTTTTAACCTGGAACGGTGGTCACCTTGCGTGAAAATTTCATCAAAATCGGAGAAGTACTGCTTAAGTTATAGATCAGCCAAGGATTAGCGGAGAGACAAATTCACCGACGAAAATAAGTGACATAGTTTTTCGTGATGTATATGTCATATAACACCCAAATAACATATATCTGATTTTCGAATTTTTTCGCAGTACTGCCGCATCCAGATGAGTAGGAATTAAAAGAGAAGTGTTTGTTCAAGGAGCAACTATCTTGAATTGGGGATCGTAGTTTCAATATGTTTCTCAAACATATTTATGTCGACTTCCTAATTGTCAGGGCTATATTTTTTGATAGCATGAAATTGTCATTCCAAATACCTGTGATATCGAACCAATGTCATATTTTCATACGAATTGGTGACCTTGGATCAAGAGATTTTTGTGAGTATATATTATAAGAATATAATAATAATAATAATAATAATGATAATAATAATAATAATAATAATAGACGTCTTTATTTATCTACAATTACATTGTAGTATAGCCAAATGTCAGACTTACATGGCGAAGTTTAGCATGCTGCTTGTCTTACACTTAACCATATAGATGGATACATAACTAACTATGAGATACAAACCTTTTCAGCAGGAGAATCATATCTGTGAAAAATTCTCGTAAATAACTCGATATCTCATTTCATCTCGTATAATTTTTGGACGGCGAAATACAATACAATGATTGTCCATCTTTAGGTAGAGTATGTCAATCAATGATATCCAAAAAATAAATAAATCACAGGATGTCTCATTTAAAATATTCGGTGTAATCGGAAGTGCTACAATTTTGGAAGTATTTTAAACACCAAACTTTCGTATTTGCCTAACGCATACCCTTCAAGTGAACGATCGAAGCAGTTCTTCTGGGGACATCCTGTATAGTAATGTTTTTACTTACTGCATTACACCTGCTGCCATTGCACGTCCGCGTGTTCGTGGTCGTAGTGGATATGCTGAAATAATAAAGCAACATAATTATCATTTCTATTTGGCCAGTTGAAAAAATGATGAATCCATGAGTTCAGACACCGACGATAAATAGAGATAGACATATCTGTTTACAAAATTTCCATTTCAGTCATTCAAATGTTCTATTTATGGTATTTTACGCTGTTGCCATCATTCACATTGCTGTCGTAGATCTTTGATAGGTATGCATCTAAAAGTGCGATGCTCCAGTGGCGACCATGAATCTGAAACAGTGTCCGAACGAATATCGTAAACATTTGCAAGTGTAATGCACCTATGCCCAAGACTATGCATGAAACGTGGCAACGTTGGGTGGTTTGTTACTAATGCTGGCTTGATATTTGACTGATTTTGCGAGAAAGCTTCATTCACACATTTGGGTTGTTTGGGTGTGCATCACGTTAATCGTCATCCAAATTGTGTTTTCAGGATTTTAAACTATTATGTTGTTGACCATGGTTTGCCAATCCCATGTTTGTAAAGTATATCTTGATTTCATGCTATTGAGATATTGGACAATCGATTGAAAAAACACTAAGCTTGTGCAAACAATGATTTTAATTTTCTTTTCAGAAAAAACCGTTACGTTGGTGATGTCCAGTAATGATTTTTCCTCACCTGTATGTGCGAAGCAAACTTTCGCGTAATGAAAAATGTCATACAGGCCCCAAGAAAAAGGATTCATGGAGTTCAAGTAGCAGTAAACTCTCTGAGGAATAGAGTAAGGACATTTAACAGACTTCTGATTGCTTTGAAGGAAAAAACCTATATAAGTGATTCATGTATCTTGTGTATATTAGTCAGTAGGTAGATAATGGTATAAATTTTGTTAATGTCAAACATGTTTGACAAATTTCAACATCTAACAGAATTTGATATTATTTCCTAGGGAAGAGAACTTCGGTCACTTTTCGCTTAGTGATTTGTCTCCCTCGTTTTCAAGAATAGGAGTCATGGTTCGAATCCAAACCAGTATTTCCCACCAGATGAAACACATATATTTTATTATCTATTATTATATTGTTAAATAATTGAAAGCGCCCCATAATACGATGTGCAAATGGATTAAAAAATTGCAAAATAAAACATGAAATTAAGCAATGACTGCTTATTTGTATTTTTCTTGTAGAAAAGTCTAAACAAATTCTGCGTATCTATCCAAAATCATATTAAATGCAATACGTATTTAGTATTCACAAGGAAATCAGAAAACAAAAATAGCTTTGACGTATTTTATTTTTTTTGAACGATTTTTTTTAGACGAAAATATCTACATATTTCATGAATGCTTACATCTTATGGAATTATCCTAAAATCGATTTTTCATTCACCTGCGAGATTCTTATACGTTAGGAGAATTTCATATGTCTCTGATTTGTTTACAAAAACCTCTTTATATACACATAACCTAACTTAACCAATGTTCCAAGAAAAATATATGGCCGACGTGAGTTCCAAGGCTTGAATAATCGATCATTATTTTCTTGTGAGTGCGTTAATATTTCCATTCTGTTACGCCACTACGAGTAGTTGAAATATCATTCTTTCCGTCGCGGCAGCCATTTGGTTCTTCAAACCACCAAGGAATGTTTGAACGGTAGTGTCTATAGATATATTGTCGGTTAATTACAGCTTCAAGACATCTGACTGGATGTATCTTCTACCAATATCTCATACGCACCATCAAAAATGAATAAAATGAAGACGATATGATAACAGAATATAACTTTCAATACCTGAAATAGACTGTTTACATCCGTTTTTTAAGAATGATTCAGATCATCTTAGATTTGTCGCTCGAATGATGGAATAACCGCATTGAAATTATTCGTATATTGAAATCGGGCTTTAAGCAGGTTTAGAACATGACCATATTATCACTCAACTAACAATTATCACTCCTATTAGAGTTGCAAGAATGATTATACAGTATTCCTTACACAGCATTGTATACTATAAGAACATTGGCAAAACCCTCTTAGAACAGCTATACAAGCGGAATGGGCACACCTAATAGGACACTTCAGTCATTTAAGAGGTTGTATAAGGGCTACAGGTAACAGTTATACAACAAAAGTGTAAGCCTCTTGCAGCCGCTATAGGACATTTGCGTCAGTGCAAGATTCAGTTTTTGTCAACTATACAACTATTCTGTTACGTGATTCTACTTTATTGCAACCAAACTATTTCTTATGTATTGTATAGACGAAGTGAAGAATATATAACTAACACAATACAGTCTTGTTTACTTACATATCGGCCATTGTGAATTTCATACACAGGTATATGATAAACATCTACACTGTGATATAGGGCTATTGAATTAACTGCGCAGCAAATTTTATTGTGATTATCGTACAAAGTAGTTACACAATTTCTACGGGCTTCGTATTTGATTCATATTTTGATAATGAGTATGTCTAGATTTTTAAGATGGAAAAATGAACTTATCTGCGTTAAATCTTGCACAAATCCTATATTTAGACACAATTACACAAATGTTTATCACTTTATATCTGTAATTTCGAACTGAAACATAACTGTTTAATATCAAATAGAGAAATAAATGTTTGCCCAATATGGCGGGTGGTTGTGTATAATCATGGCATCGTCCATGTTGTCTTTAGTTTATTAGAATATTTTGGTGTTGCCTGCAGGTGTTATACAACAATTTGAGAAGTGTCTGAAATGAAATACCGACAGAGTCGAATGATTTACCTAGAATTTGTACCGGATCTATATATTCTGTTTGAACAGTTGATAAAACCTTTTTAACCAATATGCATGCGTTGTTTGTCTTAAAACATTGGTTATGGCATTTTAACAAAAATGTGACAGCAGAAAGTTAGGTTATGGTGAAGTATACCAACATATTTAGCATATGTACAGCCTTGAACAGTTACTAAACAACAGTTGTATAAGTGCTTCCGTTGGGAGCAATTTGTTGGCTAAAGTAGTAAATTTGCACAGCAAAACAACAAGGCTCGGGTTTGTTTTATAAACGTTACCATGGATGCCACAACACAACCATGTTGACTAACCTGCAAATATGCCGTATAAGATAGTTGTATTAACGTTTATACAACAGTTAAAGATTTGTCCTATAAGGTGTTGCTATAAGAATATTTTAAACACCTCATTTTAGGGCAAATATGTTGCAGAAATTTGCATTCCACACAACATTAAGCCAGCATTTTGGTGTTCAGGCCACAACAATAGAGAGCTTTTATGGCTGAACGGTTCTTTTGACAAAAGCTTATAGCACTACTTTGCTAGTTGGGCATTTTGTTTTCCTTAAATCTGACGGAAGCCTAATGTTTATGCTGAAAATAGGGTCCTTAGGGACAGTGCGTGGAAAACTTATTGGAAGACCAGTTTTGTCACGTTTGGAAAACCCTAATATGATTCACGGTACGCCTGCATCTTTAATATTTTTTGAAAACTTGGAACCACGGTATTAATGCTAGACAAATATAAATGAAATACTAATGAACTTATTGTAGGTACAACTTGAAACCGCTTTTGGGTTGTATCCGTATCAGAGCTTAAAGAAACTCTGTTAATCCAATTTTTGAACTGTCTAATATTAATAGAATTGGAAAAAGCCTCCTTAGGTAAATTGTTCTACAATGTTGGTACCCTAGGGGCAAAAGAGCGGTGATATCAACCAGTGCTGGATGTACGAGTACGAAGTTTGACACGGTTAGGATGGGAGGCCAAACTTAGGCGGGTCTGTCTGGCCGGCACATCGCGCTGCGGCATCATGGAACAGAGCTAAGAGAGCTCTGGGGAGCAAAGCCCGTTGACATATCTGCAGAAGAGCTAGATCACCGACTGTGCGAGAGGGTCCCGAGACTGTCCATTAGAGAAGAGTAATCGATCCGTCGGACAGGCCTTCTCCGAACAGCATCGAGAATGGATAATGTAGTCGGGGCGGCAGCACCCCAAACATGTGAGCAGTAACCGAGGCTACGTCTTATCTGATGAAAGACAGTGCTAGACTCCTTTTTTCCAGCTCACGACTTGTTATTCTGAATTCCTGCTGTCACCAGCAAAGCTCGGATCAGATTGATCGTACAGGATAGCAGGTCGTTGATATGTAAGAAGAACAACGTCGTAGCCAAGACCGATTCCTGGGGAGCACCTGCTTTGACATGAACATTTTTTTTTTCGCGACTACAATACTTCTTCGTCAGTCAAAGGAACAAGAACACTTACCACCGTGTGGTTGGAGTGAGTGCAGCACATCATACCTTGGAGGTGTATATGAGCGAGCAATTGGCACAAAGCAGATTAGGGCAATCAAGATGATCAATACAGAAATCGCCCCTTTCATCTTATTTTTTTTCGGTTACAATCGTAATCTACTTGAAATGCAAGTAAATATCATACTGATATACTGCAAACTGCAACTTATATTACTGATGTGCGGAGATTAAATCATTATTTTACAACAGGTGAAATCAAATTAAGATAAAAAAAAATATCCTTTTCGTGGGTTTCGATTGAATTATCCAAACGACAGCAAAACTGCGCTTTGTCAAAATAAATTATTTTCTGTTTAATCGTATTTTTATATCGATGTAAACTTATTATTATAATGTTATTACTTGAATATCGTCAGTTCTTATGAATTTAAGCAGGTAGTAAGCCATAAAGATGTTTTGAGGATAATTGAGGGATTGTCATAACACCCTAAAGATGTTGACCAAGGTCAAGAGAGTAATTCTTTAATTCCCTTATTATCGTGAGTATTACCGCGATATGAAGCAATTTAATATGAGGTTTTTAAAATTCGGCAAGTTGACCTACAACATGTGTGGTTCCAGCAGGATTGAGCAACATGTCACACACCTAGATAACTCAAGGCATTCGATTTGGCGATGACATCTCTGTAAGACGATGATAGAACGATAAACATGAGAAAACAACAATCCCACCTTAGAAGCTTACGGAGTACTACCCTGTACCATTCCACCTTTGTTACGAGGGTAGTACATAAATAAATTATTGAGGGCTTCAATGTTAGGATAATTTCAAAGCTACTTACTTGGTGAGGTAACGACAGGGGAATTGTTCTTCATTGGCGAGAGATAGGATCGATAGAACTGAGTTGTCGGGGCCAAGCCTATTTTTGGGAAAAACCTTTTGAGTAAGTTATATATTCTACGGACTTCTACGGACCATGATATTCCTCAATTATATTATCAGAAATCACATCACATTTCATGGAACAACGGTAGCATCCTACCGCTTAGAAGTCACGCCCGTGTCCATATTCGGGGAAATAACAACCTCCAGGATCTGGAGGCGTCACGCCTCTGTAGATGTTTGACTCTATGTTACGTCTAACTTTATCTAAACTATTGATAATAAGCATATCTCATCCGACTATTTTTGACTTGAGAGTTATTATCGTGATTATAAGGGTCAGAAAATACATCACATGACATTCATTACAGAAAAACAATAAAAGTTATTCAGTGAAAACCCTCAACGTTTGATTGATCGAACCTTGACCTGAACTTGATATGACATTCTTCACAAAATCACAACACAGAGGCACTTCGTCCTTTGAACTGTTAGAACAATGTTTGAATGAACTAAGAGGGCCAGTGCCTCAGCGTGTCCTCGTTTTCACGAATACGTGTGAAATTTACGGCACGGTTATTATGTAAAAAACCTATAAAATGTCAAAAAAAAAATCAATAAAATGTCGTCTTACAGATTAGGTAGTTTTTAGTGTGCAATTAGTTCATTCCACGTTTTTTATGGAAGAATGACTCAACTACACGCATTGATGGTTGCAGAAATCAAGTATATAATCAAATTCAAGCGGATAACCAAATAAAAATGGTATTTACCATTTTGGATTGGTATTTACCGATCCGTTCAAGCGAGTGTGGTTATCAGTTTGGTTATAAGATCCGTGACGTCATGAATCAGCTTTTATTTGTCATAGTTATCACCGTAAAATTGTGGTATTTACCTAACTCAGGAGTAGTTTTATATTTCTGGTTATTATTTGACATGTGACAAGTTAGAATTTTGCCGGGTATTGGATATTTTTATTGTATTTCAGCTTCATTTTTGGGAAACTTGATACAGGCTGACGTCAGTTTTTGCATAAAGTAGAGCACCTTATAATCATTACTGTTGGAGAAACTTTAAATCTAGTACCTATGCTTAACAAAGTATCCTGTGTAGCCATATAACACAAAAACATTAAAATATGGCCACATAAACTCACTGGATGATGTCCACCTGTATGCGGTTCAGCTAATATCTTTTTTTCATCGCTTTTTCCTACCATTTCTGCTAAATCAATAAAAAAAATAATTCCATTTGCAATGTGTGCTCTGGACTTCGTAAAAGTAAAATTTTGTTCTCAAAACTACTGATGTTTTAGACCATTTTCTTTTACTTCACAAACTTTTCCTAAAACCAACCACAAGCCAATGCCAAACAATGTAACAACCAAATGAAATATCTATGTTTTAGGTTAGGCGTAACTGAAATTATCATCTCTTTATTGTTTACAAGAGTGTTTACGGCATTAAATAACCGTTGTGAGAGCCTGGCTATTATCTGATGGTGGAAAACCGAAATGACCTTAACCCTCTCGTGCATAATTTTTGTAAAAAAATAAAAACTTTAAATTTTTGTATATTTGCAATACTAATATATTTATAAAACTTAAACAAAGTTTAGTATTAACATGTCATAAAATGATGTATTTTTACAAAAAACTAAATAAAATCGTGTCCACTTCTATGGTCGCTATGCATTTCTAGAATGAAAATATTCAAAACAGTCACACTGACTCATTAGAGCGCTTACAAATATATTTTGTTTTTCTTCTGCATGCGTTAGAATGGCATCTTCTAGCGTTTTTATATTTGTCAATTTTGACCAGTTTCCTCATTTACTTTCTCTTATTTTCAGGTGGAGCATGACGATTTGTTTTTTTTTTTAGGGTTGTAGGTGGTGTGGCCGATCTGGGCGCTTTTATTTCCAATATTTGTCAAAGCTTGTGCATCACTAGCTTTGAATTCTAGAAGATCAATTTTCTTTTCTTCATTTTTTTGTATAAAATCCATGCATTTACAACAACTACATCTACAAAGTGCATCAAAACTTTGATGTAGCAGCGTTTGTTTCTCCTTCTCAAAGGGTTAAGCGCCAATAGTTGATCCATAAGGTAAACACCTCCCATATTCTGGTTATAGAACTAAACGGAAAATGGCCTAGCCACTTCAATAGTTTTTTTATAGATCTACACCAACGTTTTGACGTATTTTGAGGTCCTACTCCAGCACAACTCGAAGCTATATGAATGGCACTACTATCTAACCATTTGGTGACTGTAATATTGGGTTCAGTAGTTGCAACTGATGCTACTTTCTTTTTTCATTACAGTATGTGATTCCAATACAGTACCATCGTTTTGCAATCGATTCGATCTCAAAATTCCATTGGCCCAAATTTTCCTTTTTCTAACTTCGTCAATAAGAGGAATGGAACAAAACATATTGCCAAAAAAAGCTTATGGTTTTTATCTGCGAAATTATCGCTGAGACAAAGAACTACATGTTCCACACATGTTCCATATTCACTGATTTTATTTTTTCCTCCTGAGGCATCTGGATAAATCTCGAAACAGTACATAGACTCACCGATTCCAGCAAGTACCCAAGCCTTTACGCTCCATTTTTTGGGCTTTTGAGTAAATATGGCTTCATTCCCAATATGGCTTTTAGAGGAATGATTTGTTCATCAATTGGTTGATATTCTTCAGCATCTAAAAAATTGTTTTGAATTTTCTCAAGGAATGGACGAATTTTTTTCAGTTTATCATTAATATTTGCGTCCTATTCGCTATTTTATTTTCGAAATGTAGATATCGCAAAATGTATTCATGCCTATTCACTGGCATGACATCTGCAATCAAATCTATCCGCAAACCAACATCGCTGGACCAGTATAGTCTGGTTTGGGGATATCTTATGTTTGAGTTTATTCCCAGAAATGAGTAAAGTTCGCTTTTTGATAAACTAAAATTATGCTTGTCATTTTATGTACTGTACAAGTTGCTTTGATATACTATTTCATCCATGATATCCTCCGTGAAAAGAGAAGAAAAGCAGTCAATTCGATTTCCTATTTGAATTTTGACTTTTTCTATTCCGAGAAACCGAGGCGGCGTTGCAGGATCAAACATATTGTCTATTCATCCACTCCCACCACTTTTTTCCTTTTTTCTTCTTTTACATCTGGATAACTAACTGGGCTAATGATATCTCATCTTCACTGACCGACTTGCCTCTATCTTCCACCTCTATATTCTTTAGTATTTCATTTTCAGCAGTTATATGTAAGTTAGTTGCATTTTCATCTTCATCATCCATCATCAGATTCCAAGTCAGATCAGTCTGGTAAGTCATAAATTATGTTATCGTTTTCAATACCTATGACTTCCCCACTTTGTAGAGAAGTTTCCCGAGTGTGCGGTAATTTATTTTTGTTCTCGCCATCCTCATCATCATCATCGGCAAAAACAACGTTCTAAAAATTTCAATTTGATGAAGAAAAAAATAGTGAACCCTGTATACCAATAAACTCAGTATTGCTCATAAAAAATATATCAATGATCTATTATCTTGAATAAGAATATAAAGTACATCGGAGTATTTGCATTTGAATATTTACAAAAAGTTGTGAATTCTCCATATGGACATGCAAACGTCGAGTGGAAGTGGCCATGAACAAAAATGGGTTTTTCTATAGAACATGCATAACGTCCACTGAAGTGGCCATGAACAAAAAGGCGTTTTCTGATGATCTAATGCCTTAAAATTATTTTATAGGTATTACAGTGTGCTTATTAGGGGTTATACTAAGTGAAAAAAATACTTACCTTTTTTCTACGGCGCCCATAGAAGGATCGAGCACTAATTTCACCTAACCAAGTTGCCTTCATTGCTAACAGGTGATTTATAAATCATCCTGTCGATGAAATTCTTATACAGGGTGACTTTGAAGTTGAGTCATTAATTTTCAGATAATGATTGTAGAAGGAAGATAAACCAAAATATGTGTGTAAAAATAAAAAAAAAATTAAAAAAAATTTTTTACCTTGTTTTATAAAGTATCCTCCCGACAAGTATTTCAGTGCGGACCTGTATTTGATCTTGAGGTCCCCTGTGAGGTCTTAAGTCACCTGATTCACGAGCCCGTTGTACTACATTAACAAAGGCACGAGGGGTTGGTTGCACTCGATTGGGAAACCGATCTGCATAAACATGTGCCATTTTTTATTTCGTTTGAGCCACGCAACAGATACCACTATTCACTGACACTGACTGTATACAAATGAATGAAATAATTGTAAAAAGATCGTTCCAAATTCTTTCGCTTTTTTGTTTCCGATGCGATGAACCGATTACGGCGGATTATATCCGTTGTCGCCAAACACGACCACATAATATTATTATTGAGACAGGGCGGTACTAAAACTTCCAAAGGGCTATAACTTTGTTACTTTAATTTTACCAGGAAAATGGTAAAGGAAAAAAACATTTCTTTTGATCAGATCTACTCACTGTTAAAATAAATGACTCAACTTCGAAGTCACCCTGTATATGTTTTACTTCATAGATGGCACTCTAATAAATTCTTTTAGAGTCCACTTAAGGGGACTTTATGTATTTTGCCAAATAAAATTAGAAAGGTACGTGTCCTTTTAACTTTGAAAATTCTGACCACTACAGTGGACTCAATGCATGAGAGGGTTAACGCACTGTTTTATATCTCGTTACGTAACAGTCGATTTGAATACTGAACAACCCAGATTTCAAAGGGTAGTTAATTTCGCCTGTTAACTGATCTTTGACCTTTATCGTAAATAGGTAGTGTTTTTTATCGTTATCTTTTAACTGCTGGACTGGTATAGCTGAGAGATCTCACTATGCGATTTCTCTAGATAAGCTTCCTGTATAGCATGACTGGTTACTCAAAAGAAACGTAAACAGGTGGAGTCACTGTCGCACTAGTTGTGTAGGTTCCTGCTGAAAGAAATTAGTTTCTCACACATTGATGAGAACTGATGTACTGCCATCCATATTGAATTTAATTTTAGTCAGCTAAAGCGGCCAGTTCTGGATGTACGAAGTTCGACACGGTTAGGATGAAAGGCCCAAGTCAGGCGGGTCTGTCTGGCAGGCACATCGCGCGGCGGAATTATGGAGGAGAGCTGTTAGCAGCAAAGCCCGTTGGTCCAGTGATACCAGAGAGCTGGATGGCCGACGGCCCGCCGGTGCGAAAGGGTCCCGAGATTATCTGTTAGAAAAGAGTCATCGATCAGTCGGACAGCCCTCCTTTGGACAGCATTGAGCATATAATGTTTTTGGGGCCCTACGTGTGAGCAATACTCGAGGCTAGGTCTTATCTGGGCCTTGTATAGAGTAAGGAGGTCATGCGGAGAATAGTACTTTTTTCCTAGGTGCTGGTTGGCGAAAAGTACTTCTTAGCCCTACACAAATAGCCTAGCTTTTTCCCAGCCGCTATTGACTAGATGTTTTCCGGAAGGTTTGATTCCAAAGAAACGTCTCTGGAGCAGCTGCTGACAAAAGTCACAACTTCTCCGTTCTTTCTCAGATTGGTGTGCACCTCTATTTAGGGAAGCTAAGATGAATACTCAGTGCAGACTCTGAGATTTTTGGGTCCGCATCATTGTTGCTGTTAATACCGAAGATATTCGTGAAACAAATTTTGTTATCGATATTGTTGCCTCCACTTTCCACCTGGACATTCTGAGAGTGGAGTAAGTTTACGTCAGGAATTCTTAGTACTGGAAACATGCAGACATTTATAAGACACCCTGAAAAAAGCTAGCGGGTGGCACCCCCCAGTTAACTGGTCCCTGTCTACGACATTCTTTTTGCATGTTAAGAATATTAAATAGACCTGGAGTGGCCCGTTGGCGGTCTTGTGCCGCCCGGCAATCGAAACTGAGGTATTCCTTAACGCGTGTACAATCACTTAAACGGAAAGAAGTTGTATACTGAATACAACAGCTTCCGGAACAAGCATTTGCCACGGCCCCACCCAGTAGGTGATGGGTGTGTAGAATCAGTTGAGTAAAGCCATGCATTTTTCTTGAAATCAAATTCGTCAACCATTGTTCATAGGTCAATAATATGTCCCGTTTATAAAAATTAGTTATCCACTCTCTTGAAATGGTACCCCGGCCTCAGTTTTTTACCTCCAAATGATAGAGAAAAGATGAAGAATAGATAAAGTGGCACGCTTTTAGTTGAAAAAGTTAAAGTCGAAATAACGGCTTCAAACTAGTGGGCTACTAATTTGTTACCAACATAATAAATTTCATATAATGTCACGAGTTCGATACTGATCTGATAATAGTTTAGAGAGACGTTTTTATATATTAAAACATTAAAGTAATTTCTACAATAATTTAATAACATTATCTATCAACAATTTCTAATAAAAACTTAAGTACAATTAAGTTGCGCTCTCAATTATTGTATAATGGCTAATATTATAAAACTATATACATCACTAACAATTTTAAAGTGTCGGGCAGTTTCCGTTTTTTCTAACGGTTACACCACATTTTAAATATTTTTTCTGATACTAGAGACACATTAATTTATCTGAAGATAGCGAATCACATTGGCATCAGAAAGTCAACTAGCGATCATGTCCATCAATCCAAAAGTATTTATCTCCCACCTTTTTCTTTTCCTTATAATGAGGCCATTGGAAAATAATGATATATACAAGGAAATTTATTTGTTAAATTGGATCTTTAGAAAAAATATGATCTAAAAGGATTATAAAAATGAGAGTTCTTATAATATCTCCTGAAATTCAACGTTGATCCTACAATGATGATGAAAGATTTAAATATTGTCAAAATTTTACACGCAGTTGTGAAATGAAACCACATCCACGCATATATTTAAAAGATCTACTTCATACACTGACTGTACTACTGTGGATGCTGGCCAAAAGAAGACAGGACCGAACCGAGCTCACGACGCAAGATCTAGTCCATAAATAAATGCACAAGTTATGCTACCTGGCGAAATTTTTAATTATTTACCACAAATTATAGCTTTTTCATCGTAAAACAAATCAGAATGTAGATATTTTCCAAAAACTGTATTTGGGCATATTTTGTCGATATGGCAAAGTTAGGTACAAAAGTAAAAATTTCAACTCTACGAAATCAGCAACTACAAAACCTCTGTTTATGCTTTCCAGGTTTAATCACACAAAACATTTGTTCAAGTTTCTAGGTGCATCATCAAAATGTCATTGCATTATTTTCAAAGTCTCTGTAGTACCTACTTCAGCATCCAGCTTAATTGTCTCTGACACTTCAGCGTGCGTGAAAATCGGAACTAAGACAATGAGGTTTTCCAATAACTTGACATAAATATTCTAGCTTATACTTAGTTCAATCTGTATATCCCTTCGATAGTGCAATTTGTCCATTTCCGAATCAACAGCTCGTCGCCCGATCTCTTTCAACCACGTCATGCACAATTTTACTTTTTTCATTCACTATTTTGTTCAAATTTATTGGTCATGCGTGAACAAGTAGCTATAATGGTTGAGAACACCACATTGTGTTACTCTACTTCGAATCCGCTAGTTGTGCTAACTCAACTTGCGTCATCTTTCTAAAATAGCTGTTGACTTACTGATGGCAATGTCTTGAATTAGTAACATTGCATGGAATTTAATAAAATACAATTGAGTATTCACACTCCTCACCGTATGGGGAGCTTTATAGGTATTTACATTAAAACACTCACTCATGCACTATATTGTTTTTCATAGAGGCCTTTCTTATTTTGTTTCTTCCTTAATAAATCCGATAAAAGCATATATAACAATCACAATACATTTTTGTTCTGCACGAATCAACAAATATATTTCGATAGGCCATATGATAAATCTATTTGTTTGAGTACCTTCACAATGCTGAGGACGTATCCCTATTAAAATTAAGAAGTTAACAACTGAATTAGAAATGTGTACATAATTTTCATTTTTTATCAGTTTTCATCTGTAGAGAGATGAGATCAATAACTTTTGATTTACACATTGCCTTAGATGCGTAGACACTCAAAACAAGATCTCTCGATTCCACATTCACAAAATCTCCTGAAATTATGACCTTGATTCAAAACTACGCGGATCGAAGCAATTTTGTTTCAAAGAGATAGAGTGCTCCTAATTAAGTGAGCAACGAGGTTCTTTGTCAAATCAAACCAAATAGGAAATTTTCATGTGCTAGGCACGATCTGAGAAGTACAACTGCTTATCTACGTGTCCTACTTTCTTCAATGACCATCAGGCTCTTGGACAATAGGAAATGTTCAAAGAAATATACCAAGGTTACAATGATGAGGTACGCATCTATATGTGCTTTGAGTCAATTAAATTTCAGTATCAAGGCAAAATGATCTCTTCATTGTTAGTTTTTAATGTGACCTTGAAAACATCGCCAGGTCAACCACGTAAAGCTATTTCTCTCTGTGTCTTGCTCATGACATATTTCCACAGATATCATAGATAAATAAAAATAAGTGACAGCTAATGTGAAATAGTGTTGATATAACCTAATTCGAAACTATGTAAAAAATCTTATCCAAAATGAAAGTGATAAAGGTACTCATATATATTTTTAGCAGCCTAGAATACAGATATATACATTAAGTAGCGCTACCATTCACTCACAATTTGTTCTTTGAAACATATCTTATAAGCCTGAACACTTCTATCTATGTGCTCTAAATACCACTTTTCAGCATTCTACTAGTATTCGACAGATGCCTACGGAAGTATTTTGATCAGAGGAACTCTCAGTAACAATATCAACCTGGTCATGGTTGCATTTCGCTCCTTTTGTAACCTACGATCAAAATAGAGCGGCTGTTTGCGATTAAATAGTGAATCGTTCCTTCCAAGAACGTTCAAGTCGTAAAGGTAACACAGTGGAAATACAAAAATCTCAGTGATACAAGATCTACTTGTCATATCTCAGTAAGAATAGGTACCCATAAACTGATAATATTCTGCAAATATTATCGGAAAACTGCATTTGCTTTATTTCTTTAAGGTCACAAGTTCTCAAAAGAACTATAACCAATCTAACAGTAACCAGCCACCACATGTAGAACATAAACTGTGACCTTTCGTCAAATTTCTATCTATCCTACTGAGCCACAACAAATAATTTTTAATCACTCTGGGACCACTTTTCTTAAAACACTCCTTTCTGATCTCCGAAATTATTTAATTTTTGTCACCTATTTGTGAAATATCAGGTAAGCAAGGATGCCGGTACTAAACAAACTCATATTGCTTAAGCAATCGAAAATAGCATACAAAAATACTGGAGATCGGTCCATATACGCAAGGCATGGTCCACTAATCACAAGTATATATTAAAATCACAAAATAAACAGATTGTATTTTGCAGCCTTATATGCCACCTTTTTTTTACTTATCTTTTACAGTTCTATAATATGTCTCACAATCCTACCCACACAGTATATAAATATTATACTCCTTTCATTAAAACACAAATATTAGGATTTAAGTATATTATTTCTTGTTGAGAGAAGCTTAACAAGCCCAAACTTTGTACGTATATAATAAACGTGGTGAACTTGGATTACATAGTTTCACTACACAATAACGAAAAAATGCTCTCACTAAAACTCAACTGTGTACGCCTGTAGCTTGTTTATAGCAGTTCTTCTCTCTTTATCCCCTTTCCCCTCAGGTGATCACCAATACTGACATCTCTATCGTCTCTTCCATAAAAAATAAGTCACATAATCTATTTCGCTTATCTCTTATCTCAGAACTATCTATAAAGTTGCGTTTAACAAGTTGAAATTATTATTATTTTCTCTATCACTTCATGATGAGAAATATATTATATTTATGTTGCAAATAATCTCTCCTACATTTTTCATGCTACTTTCGAAAATACGCATGTTTGTTTACTTAGAATATATGAATTGTCTTGCATATGTCACATTTTGATTTTAAGTTCACCATATTCCATCAAATCCTACTTTATCATGTTGTATACCAGTCTATAAATGTTTAATGCAATCATATCAGTTAAGAAATAAAAAACGTTAGACTAACTTAAAAGCAAGTGTTTATGCTTACAAACCTCTTAAACAGAATCAGATCTCAATACCTTTACTAAATTCACCTTTACGCATACTTCACTCTAATTTGAACCCGTCTCAAGCACAGCGGTAGTTTTGAAAGAATATATTTATAAGATTAATAAGCACACGTTTCGATTAATTTTATTAAGCTATATTCCACCTCACATACTTTTACTTCAACCCCCACTCTAAGACATTTCCGTCGCTATATTACACCCTATTCACGAGTATTCATCACGCTTCAACGTCTACTAAGGTGAACAGCTGATCAGCAAGTGACTTTTTTGTGTTAGTCTGCGTCGCTTTCAATAGTGAATCGTGTGTAAATCTAGTAAAACTTATTTGTAGCGTTTTGTTTTTTGCATGCAAATGAACTCTTCTAAATTAAAGAGATGTTAGCAAGTATAAAATGAATCTGTAGATTACAAAAAACCAAAACAAAATACAGCTCTGGCTACCTGACGTTAACGGATCCGTCAGAATTAATCGAAATATTACTAGATAACTAGCTGTCATTATTCCGTGATGGATACTCGTGAAATAAGATGTAGATACTATCAACCAATTGGTTGGTTATCTATTTTCTGTTGTCGTACCAATACCATCTACTAACATCTAGTAGTACTAAAAAAGAAATACCGGAAACAGTTTAGTCTTGTATTTACAAACTTTACTTCATCAAGATACAAACATTATTTGTCAGTCTATCATTTTTATACTTCTTAAGGTTGACTTTTCCATAGATTGGTATTTACATGAAACATATTTATTTTAGTCGGCTTATATCAAACAAGTACCTGTAGTTAGGCATTGAAAACATATGATGGAGCGTTTTGAAATATATTAATTTTAGTTTACAAATTAATACTAAAAACCCTAAATTTCTTGTGAGACTCAAAAAAACAAAAAGATGGATATATGAACTATCTCATATTACACGCAAATACAAATAATAAAGCTGAATCTCGAATGTCTAGAATATCAGAAATCTCTGTGTGACAACTACTGTTTCTAATGTTTGCCAATTCAACTAACAAGAGCGAAGTGTCTTGATGTCACACTACTACTATGAATTCAACTGAATACGATTTCAACGGAAATCAATATTTTCACTTTGCATACCTAATCTTAAAAAGGAAAAAAGAAAGTTATGTATCGAAATATGTCCAAACAAAAAGGAGGTTTTTTGATATTTTCAATGTATCTCCATTTTCTAACATCAAAACAATCGTTTAAGCTGACTAGAGTAGGCTTTTTAGCCTTCCTTGATACGTTTACGAGCACATACCCTGTTCCAAAACATCTTGTAGATCAAACCCTTACCTCTGTAACTAATATTTATCGTGCTATATCTATTTCCGATATTCCAGATCATTTTAGCACCCTGTACGCAAAATTAGTTACTTTTTCTTGAAACTACTACTCATGACTACCTACAAAACAAGGAACGCTGATACTGTCTCCTTAACACACTCTGCAACCAAAACATAACATTACACATGCTATACATCTAAGCTACGACACTTCATTTTTAAAGAATATATAATATAATACGTTGGTGCTTATAATAATAGTATATAGGGAAGTGTAATATATACTTATAACATCCACATTATTTTTTTACGGCTAACTAGAAACTTGCACCAGTAATCCAGTTCATGCCATTTTTTATATATGTCTTAACGTTAGACACCTAAATATACGTTTATATGTGTAAATTAATCTTTTCTTATTTTGTTTAAATACGTTTGCGTACATTAGAGAAATATTTGCGTACAATATTATAATAATATAAACTGCTGAAGTTGCATTGTGTGTTAAGGGGACCGTGCCGCAGCCGAAGGTCAGACTTGTCTCCGTCGTACCCAAGGGCTCAAGGAGGTCACACTACGGTAGAATGTCTGACCAATGACGGCAGATTTTACCGTTCCTTGTTCATATCTGCTTCCATTTTACAGAAATAGAAATATACCGTGTTGAATGAACCTCTCTTTAAATATACGCTTATCAACATCTTTCAAATCTACCATCACGACGACTCAAGATCACCAAATTTGGTGAAAAATTCTCGTCACGTCTATACCTATACAGTAACAATTTTAGATGTTGATTCGTATTAAAAAACCTAGGATCTCAAGAAACATTCAGTAAGTTTCTAAATACAGATCTATTACGTCTGTTTGGAAATAATAATGCTGCAAACTTGTTTATTTGTATGCATTTGGGCAAAGCCCAACGGTTGTAGTGTAGTAGTAGTAACAGTAGTCCCAAATAATAAGTGGAAAGTAAATGACTCGATTCCACAAGAGTATACTGAAAAATTAATATACATCGCACGGACTGTAGATAAGTCGGATAGTGTGTAGTGGATGGCGTCCAGTGCTGTAATCAGGTTATCAGAGTATGAGAGATTAATTCAAATACTTCATTTGCCAATATATAGTATTATATATAGTATAGTAATTAGAACTGATCTTTTTGGAGTGGTATCAGTCTCCTCGACAGATTCCATCGGAGATTTTTGGAAAATATGATCCAAATCTGACTGATTTTATCTGGTATTTTATAGCTTTTTAGGACTCTCTCCAGCTAGCCAAAAAAATATAAGCAACAAGAATAACGCAGATTTCCATAACAGTTTTCAAACTCTCAGACTGCAAGCTTTTTTAAAATGAATTATGTACATTTCATCTTGAAAACAGAAGCTTTTGTTGCCTGGGTTCCATTGCTCCACACTCCGAAACGATCACCCTGTTAAGCTCGAAGACAACTATTTTATGTAGTTTCTGATCTTCATTAACAAAAAAAAAGCAGTAGAGGGAATGAATGCCTTAAGATCTATCTGTCAAGGTATCAATTGTATCCACTGCGTAGCTATTTTCTCAGTTTTTTATAAATCTGAAAACTTAATTGTTTTATTTAGCATACGACTCCACAGTTCATTGCCTAATAGTTTAAAAATTGTGCAATTCTGTAGAAGGGAAGCAGACATTTCTCATTCAAATCAATGACACGCTATTTTTCCTTTATGAATTAGGTTTCTTTCTCCAAATATATTAGTCAAACTAGCAAGAATGCATCATTGCAATATGTTCCATGTAATTTACTTAAAATATATCGATAAACTTTCTATTTTTTATTTTGTGGCTAGATAGATACCCTGTATTTCCAACGCATAATAGATAGTATGCTTAGCTAGCTCAAGCGTAGCTGCAGGTATCTTTTGTAAAATCTAAGTTAGAACTATTCCCAAATTACTGAAAAATACTTTATTACTTCCTATTCTGTGCAGTACTACTTTTGTTTTTCACAGTTCAAATGATGTTTCTCAAGAAACAACATACTGTACATCCGAAAATACCTGTTTGATATAAGTTTTTCATGATGAAATATTTTCCCGTGATAGTGCTGTGACATTTGCAAAATCGAAAAACGATTTGTTTATGTGACAGTGCTCGTTCCCATCTGTTCAATATTCGGCTAACAGCAGTAAAAATTGTGAGCAAACAAAACCTTATTGTTGCTACTATTATAGGGCAATTTATGTTATTTTGCGAGATAAAATCCAAAGTTTGAACACAAGTCATCACATTTTTAAGGCTTTTCCATACCAGCCTCGTAGCCTTAAAACGAACATGCTTCAATATTATGTTATTTTTCTTGACCTCGTGATTAAAAATTACCTAATGCTAGTTCTCAATAGGAAATGGTCGTTCATGAATTTTCGGAACAATTTTGCGCCCTACTATTGGTGACGCTGAAATCCGACAAATACTGTCTTGCGTACTTGTCACTTTTAACTGAGAAGTCAATCAAGCTAAAGTATAAGCAATATGCTCGATCTATGCATCAGTTGTACTGAGAAACATAAAATGCCCTATGGTACGTTTATAAACATTTCCAAAAAAATATGAATTTTATTTTCCTAATCTCATTATAATAGGTAATGTACGTATATTCTATATTTTATTTACTTCGAACTATTTAAAACTTTTCAGTCACCAATGTTTTATTTTTCTTGAACGGTAAATGGGGTAAAGACTAAAATTATACAACTAGAGCGAGAACAGTTCAAGGTGAGACTAGGGAATAGTAACTATAAGAGCAAAGAGGGTCTTTATATTGTAGATAATAGTCCTTTTGTTGGTATTTTTGCTGTGATGAGTTTTCTGTCTAGGTTATAGATACCCTAAAGTGGCATAGGTTTTCACAAAAGGGGTGTCTACCTTGCAGGTTTCCCTGGAAAGAGAAAGAAAACGGGATTAGGTAATAGGTAGACATTTTAAAAGTAAAGATAGTTATTATATTGGTGATAACGACAAAAAAGAATAACTACTTTAGAGAGATAAAACGTAAAAACGAAATGTAGGTTTACTCAGTGATTGAAAAATTCATTTGAAAGGAATATTCAAATATGGAAAGAAATTTTGTTGACGCATCTTTGGAATTCGATAAAGGAGACCTGAGAGCTTCGTATAGGTAAAACTGCCTGATACGCGAAGTTTAAGTCTTAAGGAGCTACAGGATAGGGAACGAGCTGTGCCCAAAATTCGAGGTAGAATTAAGCACAGCAGAGGCTCTCCACACTGGGAAGAGTATAAGAAGGCGTTACAAGAATATAAAAGGGAGATTAGAAGGGTCTCCAGAGAATCCTGGCCCTCAGGGGAGGACTGGTGCGTGGCACATTTGATAGAAGAGTATGGGCGATCGATTTGCTTGCTCCATACAAAAGTCCGGGTTGGGACAGCGTATTTCTGGCCATGTTACAGCACGAGCGGGATTTAGTTGTACCTTACCTTTTGTAGGTGTTTCGAGTATTTGTGGCCACAGTCTTCACACCTAGTAGCTGGCGGCAGGCTGAAGTAGCATTTATTACTAAATCAAACAGAGCTAGTTGTACTGCGGGTCCGACTGTCTTTTCATCTTTTGTGTACAAGAAAGAATAGTTGTTAGATAGAACGATCTATGATATTATATGAGGCGCTCTGCGCGTTGTGGAATTGTGGTCTAGAGAATTAGATCTTTCTGTCAAAGCAGGAAAGAGCGAGCTGATTCTATTAACGAGGAGAAGGAAGTTTGACGGGCTTGTCTTGGCGACCTCCTGTGGGACTAGACTTGTTCTGATCCAATCAGTGAAATAACTAGAAATTATCTTGGACCGTAGACTGAATTGGAGAGAACATTCTGAGTACGTCCATCTCTTTGTATGACACCCTGGTTTGGTGGCTTTGCATTGGAACAGAAACTACTATGGCTAAACTTAATAAAATTCACCACCGACTGTGGAGTCAGGGCTGAGCCTTTTTGAATCCTGTCAAGTATCGCGCTGCTATCTTAGTTGATTTCAAAGGGAGGATCCCGTCCTTCTCATAGTAGAGGCGTATCCGACAAAGGCATCGTGGGACACCGAAAGCCGGAAGGTCACTGAAGGAAGTGGTGCATAAAGGCTATCTTTGCCTCTCAACAGATATACCAATATTATCCAGGCGGAAAGCTATGCGATTCTGGATTGCGTATCCCGAATTTCGGAGCGGGAAGGGCCTAGGAGAAGAGTAACAATCTTCTCCGACAGCCAGGCTGCGATGAAGGCACTAAGTGCCTGCAAGATTACTTCAATTCCTGTATTGCAATGCAGGGAGGCTTTGGATAGTCTAGTAGCGAGGCATCTGGTCTTGAGAAGTGGACTGGTAGAGAACACTCCCAGAAATAGAGAAGCATCTCTAGACATCTCCGTCAGGTACGAGAGCTCATTGTAGGGCCCAATGTTAAGGAAGCTTTTGCTTATCTTTGGATAGAGCCAACTTCAGGTTGTTGGTGTTACTGATGTGATCTTAGCAGGGGTACGTTAACAAAATAGTAAGTATATATCTCAATCGTTTTGTAATTACGCGCTGTTTGGTTTATATATGACGACCAAATTCCTCAAATATTGTGGCGACTGTAAGAACGTGTGTAGTTCCTGTTATGCAAAAATTGTAAGTATATTCTAAAGAGAACCATTAGACAAAGATAACAAGCAGCGTATTGCTCCATCAAGATAATGTCATATCGCCTGCATTCCTATGGCTGGCCTATATCAAGCAGGCCTTAAAATGATAAATTTACGGGTAGACCTGGTCTCCAATGGTTTGAAGCTATTCCCAAAATTAAAGGCACATTTACGAGGGAAAGAAATCAAGTAATCAACAGGTGGCATTTGCCGTTTTCTGTATTATGCCAAAATGATCACTGGGAGGCATTGAAATGCTGAATAGAAACAAAATATAAATATATGATACAGAAATGACTCGTTTTTCGACATTTAGAGGATACACCAGTAAGTGTTGCTACAGTGTCATTTTGTCTCTCGAAAGAAGTAATAAATAAGGCATGCACTACCATATCTAGTAAAGAAAACTCAGTACAGCATCTTTACTTTCTTTGGAGGTTTATGTGAAGAAGAGTAAAAGCAACTATCTACTATAAGCGATGTGTATTTTGAGTCTCAGTATAATGTACTATTAGGTCTATAATATATGCCGTAAGACACTTTATCCAAGATAAAATAGAGATTCCCTTCTAATAAAACAAAACAGTGCTATAGAAGTTCCCTTTCGTGCCTACTTCGAATATGCCATGTTCGGAATATGGCATATTTTCAATTACTGAATCAGTGTCTAATAAGAACAGCATATTTATGAGATCATTGTACTCTGTTAGTTGCACCGCATATATTGACTTCGTTATTATTATCGCAATAATTATTTTCACGAAGTGAGAAATCTAACGTTTATAAAATGCATTTAGTCTAATCATATTAGCAAATTTCCCCAAAATAACTGTAAAGTGTGGTTTTATTGGTGCAAGTTGTTCAAGGGGGTATTTAAAACATGGACTCATAAAATGGGTACAACAATTTTTGTGGGAAAACTTTTTATTTGACAATAAAGAATGAGAAAACATGATTTTTGAATTCAATCAAAAGTGTTGACAGCAACGACAAAACTTTTTGTATAAGATTTAGGTATTCATGAGGCCTACACGTGAAAAGATCTGACTGATAACAAAAATGTTATGGCCAAAAAATGAGGCAAAATGCGACGATAGTTTCACCCAACCACTTGAAATTCTCCAAATCTGTAGGATTCATACTTCTAAATAACAGAAACAAAATTGAAGTATATTGGAAAAGTAGTTTTTTGAGAATTCCTAATTGTTTATTCCAAAACACCTATTTTCCGGCCGTCACTACTAGTTTATTGAGCAAAATACAGGGTTCGTTTAAAGAGCATTTAATAGCAAAATACACAAGTTTACCTTGAATTATAGATAAAGAGAGAGAAAGATAAATGTTATTTTCATGCGAAAAACAAAGATTACGTTTTTTCTTCTAAACAAATTTTCGGTCATAACTTCTTTGCTATTAGTCAGATGTTTTATGTATGGTCTCATTTTGTAGGTCTCATAAATACCTAAAAATTTTATGTGGAGAGTTTCGTTTCTGCCAACACTTTCGATTGAATTCCAAAAAACACGTTTTGTCATTCTGTGTTGTCGCATAAAAAGTTTTCCCACAAAAATTATGCGTCCGTGTTTTGAATACCCCCTTGAACAACAGGAATAAAACCAGACTTTACAATTATTTAGCAAACCAGGAGTATTTTCGTCTAATATAATTAGACAAACAATTATTCAAGCGACTAATAGAAAACTTCACATAAAAGTAAAGGGTGCGCCAATAGGTATTTCGGAATTTATTTTTTCAACCACTATTTTCCAGCCATCACTACTAGTTTATTGAGCAAAATACGGGGTCGTTCAAAGAGCATTTAATAGCAAAATACACAAGTTCCCAAAAAACACGTTTTGTCATTCTTTGTTGTCGCATAGAAAGTTTTCTCACAAAAATTGATGTACACATTTTATGCGTTCGTGTTTGAATACTCCCTTGAACAACAGCAATAAAACCGGACTTTACAATTATTTAGCAAACCATGAGTATTTTCGTCTAATATAATTAGACTAATAAATAATTATTCAAGCGACTAATAGAAAACCTCACATAAAAATAAAGGGTGTCCCAATAGGTATTTCGGAATTCATTTTTTCAACCACTATTTTCCTGCCATCACTAGTAGTTTATTGAGCAAAATACAGGGTTTGATCAAAGAGCATTTAATAGCAAAATACACAAGTTTACCTCGTCGAGATGAATCATAAACCACTCCGAAAGATAAATGTTATTTTCATGCGAAAAACAAAGATTACGTTTTTTTCTTCTAAGCAAAATTTTCGGTCATAACTTTTTTGCTATTATTCAGATGTTTTACGCGTGGTCTCATTTTGTAGGTCTCATAAATACCTAAAAATCTTATGTGGTGAGTTTCGTTTCTGCCAACACTTTCGATTGAATTCCAAAAAACACGTTTTGTCATTCTGTGTTGTCGCATAAAAAGTTTTCCCACAAAAATTATGCGTCCGTGTTTTGAATACCCCCTTGAACAACAGCAATAAAACCAGACTTTACAATTATTTAGCAAACCAGGAGTATTTTCGTCTAATATAATTAGACTAATCATTATTCAAGCGACTAATAGAAAACCTCACATAAAAGTAAAGGGTGCCCCAATAGGTATTTCGGAATTCATTTTTTCAACCAGTTGGAAATTTCATATTGCGCAAGTGCCATTTAGAGATCCTGGAGATTGATTATATATTTTACGACAAATGGCTGCATCAGAATTGTGCAAACAAGCTAGGAAAATTCACCCTCACTTTTTCGTGAAAACTTCAAGGGTAGGTCAGTAAATGTTCAAGGTAAGCGTTCACATAATAAGTGAAACTTTTGTATTGTTACAGACAATTTTAAGTGATAATAATAATAATAATAATATAGGTACAGCGTGACCCAACGAAAGGGTCGCACCTCCATTTGTCACTCTCCTGGTATATTTTGGGAAAAACGTTTTAATGTTGGCTGCGAGATCATGCAATGACATTTTTTGAGAATTCCTCAAGGTTAAAGTCTGTTTAAACAGTCCGAAGGCAATTAGGGAGCAGAAGTATATGTATATTGCTCAAGGTATTAGTGAAATTTAACAGCCATAGTACCGAATGGTTACTGAACATTTTAGTCGGGGGATAATCATTTAGGGAATTCTGATAATAAAACGTTTTAGCAAAATTGAAAGTCTTATTTAAAAGCAAAATGCCGAAGCGCCTATTGAGACACGTTGTCGTTAAAACATCAAACACGAAAATAATTATTAATTTAAAGTAGTTTGCTATATAATCCCGTTCTTTTTTTTTCTAATGCCACCAACCCTTATGGTGAATCGACCATATTTGATTTTGAATGTATGAAGTATGTCTGTATTTGATAATCCAACAATTAATGGGTAGGTATGACTCAAGTCCTGAAGTGTTAGCTACTGAACAAACAGAGCCTCAAAAACTAACTAACAGAAGTAGGCTGCCAGCAGATGAGCTATAGGCTATATACACGATAGGATCGGCTGCTGTACAGCTAAAGTCGAGTGATAGTGTATGTTTGCCGTTGGTGTCTTACTCGTCTTCCCAAGGACACACATCGTTGGTTTTGGCCTCACCCTCTGCCACGTCGCCTGCCTGCGCCGGAGTCTGCTGTTGCTCAGCTGATGCCTCCTGTTGCGCTGCCTCCACTGGAGGAAGTTCCGGGGGCAGCTCCGAGCCTGGAGACTCACTGCTGTCTGGTTCGGCTAGTGGTGCCAAGGGCTCGAAGGCGCTGCTGCTACAACCCGCCTCCTCAGCTTCTTCTGTCTCTGCCTCAGTCAAATGGGACTCTTCTGCCTCTGGTTGCTGAGGAGATTCCTCAGCAGATGCGACGGGACAACTGCCAGCACCAGGAGATAAGGGTGGGACCACCGGACTACTTGCACGACTGTGGAATAAGTGTATGTTGCGAGATATATCGTAGTCAAGTTGTTACTAATCTGTCAGCCTCAATGTTATCATACGTACAGTATATTCAGATAAGAGATAGACCGGATGTAAACAAAAGGTTCGGGTGATTTTCACGCTAACGCCACCGTCTCGACGTAAAACAGGAGCCCTCATTGGTCAATTCGCAATTAAATGCCTATGCCGAGCGGCAGAGCAGTCGTATCAAGGCAGAGTCACATTCAGGTTCAGACGTGTTGCGTATGTCGTGTGCATCATTGCAATTTGATATTTCTTTGGACGTTTTCGTTTGTTATCTTATTAAGTTGTTGAGTTTGTCGTTGTTATTGTTATACCTTGTTATTGATTGTTATTGTTATCAACTGCTTGCGCAAAATGCCCAGTAGTACAGATACTGCCGATGAAGTTGTAAACTCCTGTAGTCCACCTAGGAAACGCTCTAAAAAAAGACGCCTGAGTGCAGAAATGAAAGAGGTCATTTTGAATATATATAAGATCGAGCGCGAGGAGAACGAGGCATCAACCATCAAAGAAATTGTTGTGAAGGTTTCTCACAAAGTTGGGGTGTGTCGCGCATCAGTGTTTAATGTGTTAAGACAATACAAAAAAAATCACACCTTTTCTGAGCCAATGACCAGTAAACATCGCAAAAGTATTGTTAAATCATTGGATGAAGCTGATAAGCATGCGATTAGGAGGAAAGTGCATGAATTCTTCTTTAGGAATGAAATACCTACTATAGATAAAGTACTGCAGGAGGTAAATGGAGATACAACGTTGCCAAATTTCAAACGATCAACTTTCCATTACTGAAGCATTTAAATTTCAAATGGAAAAAACGGGGTCGTAATAGTTTACTACTGGATAAAGAAGAAATTGTGCTATGGAGGAGGGATTGGGAAATATAGAAATCAAAACAGGAAGATTTATTACCTTGATGAAACGTGGGTAAACGCAGGACACACTACAAGTAAAGTATGGGTTGATCATTCTGTAACTTCATCCAGGAGGGCCTTTCTAGATGGACTGTCCAGCGGATTAAAAAATCCAGCAGGTAAATACGAGTAATAGACAACAATCGGATGTTTTTCAAACCTTGGGAAAAAGGTTCTAAACATTAATTCCAGGGAGCAGATAAAACATATATTTGTTAGAACTTTTTTAAGCCATGTTTTTATGTGTTTTCGATATTTCAATAATTTTTTAATATAATCTTAAAATATGTCGAATATTATAAACTTAAAAAAAGTTACTAAGTTTTATATTGTGTACCGTTCCTAATATTTCTAATCATTTTAATTCATACTTTAAGCTTTATAAAGTTATAATTTGTTAATATTAATATTTGCGCGTATTTCAGGTTCCTGATCATTCATTTTTTAAAGGTTTATAACTTTAAATTAAATTGTAAAGCGCTGAGTAATCATACGACGTTCAATATTCTTTCTTTCAATATGACTAAATAAACCCAATTATAGCAATCTGATACTCATGTCTCAATGTTTTTTCGCTGAATGTGATGAAAACATTTGAAAAAGGTTCGCTTATTGAAATAAATCTACACCAGTTAGTACTTCGATTTCCAGGTAAAGGGAAATATTTATATAATTATCTGCTATATTGGCAGTGAGGATGGATTTGTTGTTGACGGTCTGTGGTGCTTTGAGTCTAAGAAAACTGGAGATTACCACGAGGAAATGAATGGCGAATCGTTTGAACAGTGGTTTTCAAAAATTTTACCGAACTTAGAGGAAAACGCAGTAATTGTGTTGGATAATGCGCCTTATCATTCTCGAAGAATGGAGAAGGTCCCAACAACGGCTTCAAGGAAAGTTGATGTTCAAAATTGGCTCCGCTCGAAAAATATCAACTTTGAAGAAGCAATGCTGAAAGTACAATTATTAAGAATTGTCAAGGATCACAAGGCGGAATATCAAAAATACGCCATTGACGAAATGGCAGCAAGTCAAAATAAAACTGTGCTCCGTTTACCTCCATACCATTGCGAGCTCAATCCCATTGAGCTCATATGGGCAGAGGTTAAAAATTATATAGCTAAGCACAATACAACTTTTAAATTTTGTGACCTCAAAGGACTTTTCAAAGAAGCACTAGAATTAATAACAGCGCAAAAATGGGAAAACTGTATTAAGCACGTGAAAGACAAAGTTGAAAAGAGAATGTGGGAACTGGACAGTATTTTAGAGGAACAAGTCGAGCCATTCATTATTGACGTTGGTGCTTCAGGCAGTAGCGATGATGAAAGCTCATCAAGCTCATCTTTCCAATAAAAGATGTCGTTCATCAAATTCGGTAAGTTATAAGTAATTATAAAGCTAACTGTATTTTTTAATTAATTATTGACATTTTTGAACCCATTTTGGCAAAACCTATTCAAGAATCTACTTTCTGACAATGTTCAACCATGCACATTTTTTTACGTTTTGAACGTTTTAATTTGGTTACATATTTACCTAGAAATCAAAAAATATACTAATCAATACTCTAAAAGCAATTTTAAGAGATATACGATTATTTTTAATTTAGGCTAATTTAAACGCCATTTTGAGATTATATTCGACTGTATTTCACCAAACATCAGGCGGCATCCGAAGCTGGAAATCGAAGTGAAAATTTTGAAACCCTTATGTATATTTACATCATTATATATTTCTTACCCCACCCCCACATGATCCTATATCCATCACCAATCGTATACACATCGAATTGTGCTAATTTACTACAAAGTTACGCAAAGCAGCATCTACTATCTAAAATATGTACTGCGTGACTCTTAATACGTCCCTGCCGAATGTTACAGCGTTCGATGATCACGTGGTCTTGTTTATGTCCGGTCTATCTCTTATCTGAATATACTGTAGTAATAAGATCACACCTATTCCAAAATCTAGCAACGAGCTGGTCCTCCCCGCATCTGACACCAGAATGTAACAACAGTTCTTTTAGTCCACACCTGATATAGTACAATCATTAGATGCTCAAAAAGGGAGTTGCCTGGAAAATTTTGACAAGCTGATATCTCTAATCGTTCATTGTTTCAGTTATGTCGTACGAGATCTGTAAGTTAAGTAACGAGCCAGGTAACGTAGCGTTCAATCTGGCAACATTGGAGGCGCCGGGCTTGGAAAGGAGACATGAAAACATGTGATACGCATTCAGTACAAGTTTGAACTCGCTCGAGTCATTTGATTCTCCGTAGCGATTTTTTTTGTTAAACAGTTTTTTATATTGTGTTTTAAAAATGAGTGACATCGATTTCAAGCAACGGTGTGCTATCAGGTTCGGCACAGTGGAAACTTTTGATAAACAGGCCTAGTGAGGTAGCGTTTTGTCAAGAGCCTAGGTTTTTAGGTGGTTTAAGGCATTTTCCGAAGGGAGAGAGTGTTTGAAGATGAACTTCTTCATCTTTAAGAATTGATGAAAATATCAACAGAATCCGGGATCTTGTGCGTTCAGATCGTCGGTTTACAGTCAGAATGATCCGGGAAGAGTTAAATTTTCTCTCTACCTTTCATCAGATCAAGAACAACTGGATGTTACATCACAATAATGCTTCTTATCATAAAGTCAATAAACGACGTTTTGGCCAGTAAAAACATTGATGTGGCTCCTCAGCCTCCGTATCCGCCTGACTTGACTCCTTGTGACTTTTTCTCTTCCCGAAGTTAAAGAATCATCTCAAGGGAACTCATTTTGGGACAGTCGAAAACGGCTGTAACCGATCAACTGGAGGCTATCCATTATAGGAGTAATTTTGTGGGTAAGAATGTAAAATTATAATTATATTAGAATAAAAATAAAATTAAAAAAATCTGTCTCATCACTTAATTTACAGACCTCGTAGTTTCACTTGAAACCTTTAGGGAACGATACGATCTCTCCCAATGTTTGTTTTCATTGCTACCTCGTATATTAGCAGCACGTGCAGCGATATATTGATATAGTAGCAAAAAGTATTTTGAACAAATTTCTAAAATATACTAAGTGACATATAAATCCGAACACCCAGTTTTAATGGTTTTATTTTAATAAAAGTTGGTGAATGTATTTATCTTACTGTAAATAACAAGTGAACAAATTTTCAGCCTTATCAGTTGGACATTCCGGTTTTTATACTGTTTTTTTTTTAATTCACTAACGCTCTAAAAATGAATATTTCAGCCGCAGTAAAGAATCAACGTTGGCGGATTTTGGTTCTTCACATCATTTACGATCGGTTACGATGCCTAGAGTACGGAGACCTGTACGATTTCGTCAACTTAGTGAGTTTGATAGTGGCCGCATAGTGGGACTTCGGGAAGCTGGACTTTCTTTTCGGGCAATTGCAGTTAGAGTGCAAAGAAATGTAGACACTGTGGTTAGGTGTTGTCAGGCATGGCTTCGAGAAGGCCGTACACAAAAAGCAAGGGGCACTGGACGCCGCCGTAGAACAACAGACCGTGAAGATCGCCGCCTAAGATTATTGGCCTTAAGGGACCGTTTCTCCACTACCAGGTCCATTGCAAATGAATGGTTTGCAGAACACGGAAGACCTATTGGCATGCGAAGTGTTTACCGACGAATGAGAAGTTTTGGCTTGTTTTCATACTGGCCACACTGGGTCCTCCCTTTAACTCGAGAACACCGACGTAATCGCCTTGAGTGGTGCAGACAACGGTCACTCTGGGATCAGGAATGGAACAGTATTGTCTTTAGTGACGAGTCTCGATTTTGTTTAGGCTGCACGATGGTCGTGCCAGGGTTAGAAGGCGACGTGGTGAAAGGAGGAATCCACAGTTTTTTGTTGAAAGACATGTTCATCACACTGTTGGAGATATGGTTTGGGGTGCTATAGCTTATGGTTCCAGGTCACCTTTAATCTTTATCAGAGGTAACATGAACGCGCAGCGTTATATTCACGAAGTTCTGGAACCCCATCTTTTACCCTATCTTGACACCCTGGCAGATCCAACTTTCCAACAAGATAATGCCCGACCACATGTTGCAAGAGTCACAATAGACTTCTTTCACATAATGATGTCACATTGTTACCATGGCCACCAAGATCTCCCGACTTATCCCCAATTGAGCACGTGTGGGATATGATGGGTAGGAGATTACTCAATTTGCAACGTCCTCCTCAGACTCTAGAAGCACTTCGAGAGGAGTTGGTGGTTGCTTGGAATGAGATACCACAGGAGGACATTGACCACCTGATCAGAAGCATGCCTAGGCGCGTTGGAGAATGCGTAGCACATCAGGGCTTTAAAGCAGTGCAATCATTTTGAAATTTTTATCAATTACTTATTATGCTTCATTAAGTACTTATACAAAATTTTATTAAAATAAAACTATTTAAACTGGGTGTTCGGATTTATATGTCACTTAGTATACCTTCTTCGTTATTTTTTTCTTAAGCAGAACGTTCGTGGTAAAACCACGAAATTATTTAACTATTTATCATATAAAAAATACTAAATACGTAAAATTAGTTAGAAAGGTGATATTGTCAACAAACTGATTTAGAGCACCGCTCTCCTAAACTAGCTGCCCGAGCGAAAAAATTACAAGGTAACAAAACAAAAATTCGAAGGAAATCCATAGGGACATGAACAAAACTTTCCTCTTTTTGAGCAGAAAATTATTATACTATTGATAAATATATCGCAAAGAAGTCACTATTAATGCCATAGTCACCCTGAGTATAATAACAGATATCAATAAACCCACATATAACTTTAAAACGTTATAACCCACACCTAGCACCAAAGTGCATATCTCCACACTTTACTCCAACAGCTACTTGTTATATCCCACACCAGACACCAAAAATGTAATAGAAACTGCAGTACCTTCTGGCTCATATGGGGGTAAATAAGGATGTACTTTTCATGTTATTGAGTATTGATTTACCTGTCATGCGACACGCTACTCCTGTCGTCCTCCTGTACCTGCTTTTTGGTTGAAGGGCTCGTAGGTATTGGCATAGGGGAGGGGACATCTTCAGATGCTGAACTTACGCTGATCGTCGGTGCTGTACCTGCCACAGAGAAGGTTTTTGCTAAGCTGTGGCTTTTCTTGAACGTCTTTTGCGAGGTAGATGGCTTCACGTCACATTCACTGAAAAGAGGAAAGGCAAGAGAGATTACATTTCTATATTTCCTAATCGCCGATGCTTTTTTATCAAAATAAGCAACATCGTCTATTGGGACCGTATCGTCAGTCATTCCTACAATTGTAGGACGCCTTTATAGCCTCCTTGATTTTCATAGTTTTCCACTGTTCCTTGTCAGCGCTCTATTTTGTGATTATGTTACAAATATCCATTTGCATCAAATTTTTCATGCTTTTGATTATCATCTGTTTATATAACCTGAAATTTCAGGGAACAAATTCCAAATGAAGATGAAAGTAGGTCTTGGCTTCTACTTTTGGACAAACAATCTGACATTAACTAATTTTTCTGATTGGTGTAAGTAGACTGTATTTATTACTTTGCAGTTGCTGACAAGTTGTGTACTCGTATAAATTATACCACAACCCCGCTTCGTATTGCGTGTATACGATAGAAAAAAAACACTCTTTTTAAATTACACTCCAAAGAAAGAGAGAGAGAGAAATGGACTTATCGCGGTGCGTTCATCAGTATCATTTGACGTCGATAGTTCGCTCTATACGCTATTATACTGTGTGGTTTTTTAAAATCCCGTATTCAGCTTGATCCAAAGAAAAAAGTATAGATTCTGAAACGCGTCATAGAGAAGAAAAGATAACTTAAAAACTATGTTCTCTAGTACACAGTCCGAATATTGAGCGGAAAAAATCGTGATGGCTGAGTCTCTTTAAATAATTCCAAGTAGTATTGAGAGGTATGCCTATAAGCCTTACGCCTTATCCGGTTCAAATTCTCAGACAGTTCGTGAAAGTAAAGATGTTTCCTTCAAAGTTGGTGTCAATGTCGTAGTTAATATTTACTAAAAGCAACCTTGTAACCTCAGCGTGTTCAATAGGGTTATTTAGTAAACATATTGACTTGTTTTTTACCAATCCATGTTGCAAACTTACAAGGAATTTTAATTTGTCAATAATAACATAATTTTTACGTACCAATAAGCCTAAAAAAGAACCTATCATTGAGGTCATTTTTTAGATTATTATTAGGTAAGCTATAACCTCTGAATTTGTCTTGTCCTAGACATTGAGAATTCTTTAAGTGTTTTTTAGAGGTGTGTGTTTTGTTGTTTTAAATCTGCCAATTTAATTTCTTGGTCAAAGGTCTATTAGGGTCCTAACTCTCAAGACAATTTAACTATTGAGGACGACATTCAAGGATATTATTGCTAATATCTTACAAACATAGGTAACTTTTCCTTGGGTGTTAGCTCATTTTAACAAAATGCTAGCTGGGGAATTCTCTGGATGATCACTTACGTTTTCTTTGTGGTACCAGTACCAGCGAACAGCGAAGGTGCGGAATCTTCAAAAGATGCTTTTGTATGCGGCATGTCTGAAGAATGTGTCAAAGGAACAGAAACAGAGGCTCTTCTAGGGGTGTCGCTGAATCCAGCTGTCAACTGTCTTCCGCTACCACCGTCCACAGTGTGCTGTTGGGTCAATACACATGACCTCTGAAACTAGATATATAGCTAAATATGCTTTACTGTCTGAAGGATGAAATCATTCTTAATGGCAAAGCTAACTTAAAAGTAAAATATAATTACATAAGTGGATTTTAAGTAGGTTAATTGTAGATCCCACACAAGGTTAAGGTTTTAAGTTCACGGCGGAATATCTTTAAATTGTTAATTCCTTTGATAGCAACAGGGAGGCAGATGCAAATTTTCAGACGATTTTGAATTATTGAATATTTCACAAGTGTTGTTCTAGGTAAAACTGATTTGTGTTCTTATTTTTGTCTAATATTGTAACTTAAAAGTATGTAATGTTTCAAAAGTAAGTTAAATTACCATACCAAATATACTCAGTAATAAAAAGAATAGAACACCCAGTAAAACTATTTTACGTGTATGAAATTTTGTATACAGTCAGATGTGAGGAAGAGGGAGTCGTGATTAAATTTTAGAACGAAGACATTCGCTGGAAAAAAAATTATTAAACCAATTAGGTCAGTAGGAAAAAATGAATTATTCATGTGACAGCTAATAAGTTTAACCCCTTCCACTCCAGGTATCCACATGTGGATATTTCCATCAACACTGGTAGGTACCATGATATCCACAAATGGATATCGTGCTTATTTGTTTGAAAATAGATTTTATATGATGGTAATCCGAGTATTACTATAGTATTTCGTCTGGTATGGCATATAATATTATATCCCCCACCACAACAATTCGGTCAAGCACGCGTAGATGCGAGACTTCTGTTAGTATTGAACTAGCTTTGCTGGTATATGGTCAAATTCGCGCGTTTCTACGTATTTGGCAGATAAGTTGATTTTCAACGTTTTTCGGCGTACTTTTGTCATTAGTTTTGCGTTAATACCCTACAAAGAACATTATGGACGTGGACAATTAATTTGCAAGCGGTAGTGATGATTCAGATTACGAATTTAGTGATAATTCGATAATAAGCGACTCAGACTCTCAATCAGACACTGACGACGATGATGAAATTGAGAACGTAATCAATGAGAACTGGCAGGTTTTAGGTGACCCTTTTGCCGATCAGCAGCCTAGACAAGTGAGAGATTTTTCTTCAGATTATGATTTTCATCCAGCAATTGATTGGGAAGAATGTAAAGATCCAGTGAATTGTTTTGAATGTTTTGTGAGCCCGAACATTGTAACCAAATTATGGAAATGGAGCAACAATAGAGCAGAGATATATTTCGAGAAAGATAATGTCGATACTGTATTTGGTCTTGAGTGTAACAAGTTTGAAAAAGAGGAAATGTATATTTTTATTCCAATTAATTTTTTGACCGGACTCACTAAATGTCCTCGCATAACAGATTATTGGAGTAAAAGCATATTGTGTTCTGATCCAAAAGTGTTTGACAAAACAATAATGAGCCGAAACAGGTACCTATCTATCTTGAGTTTTATCAGATTTTCTCCCCCGGAAGCGGCTAGGGCCCGAGCTCCCATGAGTAGACTTGGCATTTTTATGGCTATGCTGAAAGATAACTGCATGACCTTAGTGGACCCCGGAACAGTTTTTGCTATTGATGAACACATAATGCTTTATAAAGGTAGACTGCATCTTCGCCAATATATAAAAAGTGAAAGAAGCAGGTTTGGAATAAAAAAGGTTCGCATTATGTCCAAGTGCTCAACGTCTAAGAGGTTATTTCTGGAACTTTTGTCTATATACGTATATAGGCAAAAATACATTTGACGTAACACATATATCAGGTACCGAAAGTTTGTCAGTTTCGGGAACAATCGTAGTTCACCTAGCTCGAAACCTACTAAACAGTTGCCGAGAAGTTATTTTGGATAACTGGTATACTTCGGAGCGGCTTTCCAAATTTTTACTTTCCCAAGAACCATATTCAACTGGAATAATAAGAGTAAATCGAGGTGTGCCCAGACAACTGTGCAACATACCATTAGAGCAATACCAATCATGCTTCGTACGGAATGATATGAAACTACTAGTTAAATATAAAGACAAAAAAGATATATATCTGTTAACAACAAATAATACTGCAGGTTTTTATGAAAAGAGTCGCCATAAGGTGGGAGGAAAAATAGTTAGTTTTAAAAAACCTACCCATATTCAATACTACAATCAAAATATGGGTGCTGTGGATGTAGTCGATGAGGATTAGGAGACATATAATTCTTTAAGGAAAAGTTACACTTGGTTCTCAAAAGTGGTTTTTTTTCTAATGTCTCAGATTTTCTGAACTCTAGAGTTTTATACACACATGCAACCGGAGGCTCTCAAAGTGCTATGTATGACTATATAAAATTGTGCTGTAATGATATTCTAAGTAAATATAGCCATGGGTATCGGAAGATGTTTGAAACTCAACCGTCAACTTTCAAAGGTAAATCCTCCAAAGAAAAACATGTTATGGTGTACTTGCCAAAAGAACAAGGAAAAAATTGCGCTCTACTAAAGGTCTGCGTTGTCTGTCGAAGACGAGGAATAAGAAAACTCACTGGAAATGTTTGCCTGGAATGTACAGATAAACCAGGATTATGCTGTGATGATCACTTTGAAGATTACCACAAGTAATAAGTGTGAAATATATGTTTCTCTATAACTTTGTTTATCTCTATGATATTGTAAATAAAGCATTTATTTTATCAAAAATGTGTTCTAACTCATTTTTTTAAAATATCCATATATGGATACCTGGTATAGCACTGCTATCCTTATATGGATATTCTGGTATACTGCTAAATTTTAGGGACGTACCACCATTTTGTTTCTTGTTTTAAAAAACAAAAATCTGTACGAATGATCAAGTTCAACTGTACTAATATAATTTATGAAAGCTTGAAAAAACATGATCTGGTATGTAGGATACATTTTTGAAATTGTAGCTGGAGTTGAATGGGTTAATTAGTCTAACTAAACTCCAATTTCTAAAACAGTTTACTTGAATCTATGAAACTAGTTTAATTTTATTAAGACGCAGTCGCTTGATTAAACTCATCAAACCGTCAATTTAGATTGAGTACCTACACCAATCTATTTAAAATTAATGAAGTATAAAAATGAGTTTACCTGCTCCAAGTAAAACAGTTTGTTTATTTATTAAATTTGTTTAATTAGTTGAGCTAAAAGTATTTGCCTAGTTTAAAAGGATTATTTTATTTAGATCTAAGGGGATACTTGTATAATATGACAAATACACAAATCAACTGTTCTTATTAACATGTTTAACTGTTTGAAAAGTACCTTTTCTGTATAATTTGAATTACCTATACTAATTAAATAGTTTAATAAAACAGATACATGATTTGTAATTTTCAAGCAAATTAGTTTAATAGTATAGAAAGTTCAGTTTAGTTAAACTGAATAATTTAGTGACTTAGAATCATTAAAATATTTATTACGGTTAACGAAAATTTTCCGGAACAACTGTTTAAGAGGCCACGTTTTCTCAGTGTACATTGATCCAGTCGACATGCTTCTGATGAGATAATTTATATCTTGAGATATCATCTCATCCGTAGGGCGATATTTGGCGCTTCGGCCAAGAGTGTGGCCAGTTATGCAGTGTTCGACAAAATCACTATTTGTGGCGTATCTAGTTGTGTCTACGTTCTTACCTTGTCAGCAACCTCGACAACAGCATGCGCAGCTGAGGCAGCTGCAGCAACGCTCACATCAGCTGATGACGACGAAGCTGAATCCAGTTGCGAAGACGAGTTTTTCCTAGAACGTGCTTCTTGCACCAAGTGGTGATGGATAGCAGATGGTTGGGCTGAGGAAGGTGGACCAGCTCCAGTTTCCCACGGGCATACATCTTCAGAAGTGCTTGCTCCTATCGCTATGCTAGGCTTCTTTACCCTGATTCACAAAAAATCAGGTACAGACCATTGAATAAGTGATATTTCTGATATGTTGACAATCCTAATACAATTTCAGATGTAGATAGAAGTTCTCGAAAGATATCAAGATAAGAAAGTGGCGGTATTGGAGTCAGGTACACAGCTGATATATCTCAACGTAAAAGTAAAGTTAGTCTCATACAATTTATACATCAGGCCTCTTAAAGTTTTGCATGAGTGCCCTGAATTGCAGTCAACAATCAGATAAGATCTTTTAGAGGTTCAACATTTTTTTTGAACTTGGATATAAACAGAATCCATATCGTGACTTTATATTTCGAACTACTTGACTATTAACTGTTGACGTGATTTATATAAAATCACTAGTAAGATATGGTATTACCGAAAGCTATGTTCACTGAAAATTGAAAGTTATAATGCGTTGTGAGCTTTCATACTAAAATTTATAATTTGTTAAATATACTTGTTCTTGCCAGTGTACCCTTGCAATCCTGGTATTGATACGAGCGTTTTTTTTTTTCAAAGCGTCTCAGATTATTATCGATGTTAAGCAAGACAATTTCATGATCTTGAAGATCAAGCCTCTCAATAAAGCAGTCGTTCAGTCATGTTTATGTTGCACATTATTAAAAAAATTAATAATGTTACGTCGAGGCTGGTCCGCCCCTGGCTATTTAAACAGGCTAATTGTTTTATATTGCCACCATGTAAGGCACTAACTAGTTACAATGTCGTCTTTCGTTGAATTGTGCAGTGTTGTTCAAAAGTTATTTAAGAAATATTGATCTCCAGTATCGTCCTTAAAGAGCTTGTATTTTGGCAGGGAAGCGTATGACATTTTTTAGGCATAGACTTATAAATAACATTATTTTTTGTGTTCTATATGCATACGAGAGACTGCCATCTTATCCTAGAACACCCTGTATAGTAAAATTATGCTGAATAATGTTCGTTAACTTTTTAACAAGTCGAAAGCTGGTACCTGGAATACACTAACAAGGAAAGTTGGCGAAATTTGCATAAGCTAGTTAAGCTTTAACTTGAACATTGCAATTATGAGGTTGCTCAGCTAAGTGCTAGAAGGAAATTAGGGCGCCCGTTCCTACAGTTTCCGGCAAGGTCGGGGAGAAATTTTGCTACACGGTTATTTGGGATATTTGTTAAAGGTTTTACAATTTGGAATAATTTGTCAAGTGTGACAAAAGAAGAGATAACCTACTACCACTTGTTTGTATCGGGCTGGCTAATAAGTAATGAGCGACATAAATAATTTTAAAATTTTATCTATTTATGAAATAACAATTACTCGTAAGCCAGCGATTGGCCACCTTGGATGGCATCCCCATTAAGCTCCGCCGATTTGGATTTGAAGAAAAGTCATCGATGTACTGTTGCAGCTGAGCTTCATCGAAGCTTTTTTCCCGCAAACGATAAAATTAATGATCGCAATAAAATGAACTGTTTTGGATTATACTGGTCAATATGGAAGGAATGTCACGATTTCCCATTTCAGCTTTAGTAGTTTTTGTCAGGTACAATTAGCAATATGAGGCAGGCTTTGTAATGAAAATAGATTTTCAAGTGGATTATAGTACACTGTACATCGTGGTATTAGTATGAATAGTAGGAAGAATTTCCCGGTGTATTAGTACATGTACATCTAAACAGTGAAGATAATCACCTTACCAGGGTGAATATATCTTTTTGGTGTAGATTTTCCTGGCTTGTTGTAATGAACTACGCTCACTGACGCTTGCATATATGGTTAATATCGATAACCGACCTATTATCTCCAGTGACAAGATGGTCTAGCCAGTTGAATGTACGGCGAAATGATAAATATGTATACAGACCTCTGCTCTGCTATTTAATCTTTTCTTTTTTGTCTATCGTTATATCAAATGCACTGTACTTACGTAGAAGTCTTGATGTTACTCAACTCAGCAGAGCAGAAATCTGGGTTCTGCCTTTACGAACCAAAAGCCCATAATGTTTTTTCAGTAAAACGAGAACACGATATACGAAACACGGATGACGTTTCTTTATTTACAATTTGTATGACGTCACATCTTGGCCGATAGTCTTCACCGTTTCATATTAAAAATAAAAACTGTATTTTTTTATTGGATTTATATATCCATCTTGCGCATCTAAAAATTGAAATCAATATATTTCGTTTTTCTTAGCCAAATACGGTAAGAAATACTCATTCATTGTATGAAATTAGATATGAGTCAAGTAGCATATAGTTGCGGAGAGGAGAAACCCAGCTATTGCAAATTCTCATATATGACGCTACGGTATCTCATTTTATCTCAGATAATTTATCGGATACGCGAATGTAGTAATGGGTTGGCTGTGTTCAGGTAGAACACGTTAAGTTTATTCCTATGTTTCTACTTGGTTAAACTATCAAGAAATAACCACAACTGCGGAATCGTTGGAAGGACCGCTGTGCTGTTGCGTCGAAGGCTGCGTAATGAGCTACTCTTTGGCATGTCTTACGTGCAGCAGTGCTGGAAATGGGTTTCAGTATCTCTCATTTTTTCATTAGACTTTACGCAATGACTGTTAAAGTATTACTGAGGTGCATAATTGCGATTCCGACTATACCTCCTCCACCATAAAACATTTTCGACTCTACTCAGGTTTTCTAGAAAATAAAAACTTGATCGTTCATTACATATTAGTCAGCCCGATACTATGTATTAGTTCCGAATCCTTGGTACCACAAAATGTCCATCTTATGTTATAGAATGCAAAACCGGCAGGATGGACAGACTTTTGAGCATTCCAATAAGGTGACAATACGTCTAAATGTTAGTTTAAAATTCTTCATTCTCTACCACCAAGCCCTAACATCTTAAAAATGTAACATCCGAAGTGAATACAAGTTTCATAGTTGCATAGGCTGATAAATGAGTTCAAATAGTCCAAGATCCCAGAGCTGCCTTACATTACTCATTTTCTGAAAGACCAAACGTGGGGCACTAGTGGCGTTTGGCGTTTGGCGAGATCTACACGAAGACATACTAAAATAATCCTTCAACATCAAGGTGTACAATAGAGTTACTTAAGGTTTGTTCATACAGTGGTGGGCGACTTGTCGGTGACTGTGTCTGGGATCCGGCTGTGTGAATTCCGTCTATACAGGGTGTTTCCAAAGTTGAGTCATTTATTTTAACAACTGTTATAGATCGGGGGCTGAATTTTTCTTTAGAAAATCTTTATGATCCCATTTTTTGTTTCTCTCTACTCACCATCACAGATCTTATGGAGGGTTTATGCAGGATGGTTAAGATCACAAAGTGAACGATTTCTAAACATTTTCAAATGGAACACCCTGTATATTTTCACATACCTTGATTTTTTATTCTACAACCTTTTTTTAATATGAGGTTTATGGAAGCTTGTTACGACTGGTTCTTAGGTTACAGCTAACCTTTTTGTACACCAGATATCAAGGTAAATGAAAAATACTACAATACCTTCAAAATAAAAAATAGCATTGATTTGGATTGATCTTCATTATAATTTAAATATACCCAGCCTCATACAATAAAGTAGAAAAACCAAGTTGTTCCTGTGTTCTTTGTAACCCAAAAACCATTAGAACAGACCACCATCAACTTGATATCAGAAAACACTTGTGGAAAGGAGATTCAAAAAATGTGATCCTGTTTAAAATTCTGAGAAATAATTTATTTTGCTTTATTGACCACCCTGTATGAGCTGTTTGAGAAACTGAAAAGGTAAGTAGATAGTGACAAAATATGAGGTCAAGAGATTTTTTTGCCGAAAAAGTAGTAGTACTCTAGCTACAACATTAGCGGGGTGCGAATTGTCAAAATTGAGAATTTTTTTCCATAGATCATCCAATATCTCAACAATCTGCAATTAAATGTAGGGATTTGTAGAAAAAAGGGTATGTTTGGATCACCTCGTAGTCATGACTCATTCTGAAGAAATGAGCATATTTTCCAAGTAATAATCATATTGTTAGCTACAATCTTTGTACTCAACGTTTTTAGATACAATGCGTAATAACAGAGGTATCGATCAAGCTCACACTAGAAACTCACCCTTTACCTATATAAAAAGCAAGCAAAGATAATTTAACTTAAGTTAGTCGTATTCTTACTAGGCCTTTTTCACCTTGTATCAGTGAAAGATGCCCTATTCTATGCCCCACATTTTGACTTTCAAAAGATAAGAAATGTCTGGCAAACCTGGTATCTTACTATAAAAAGGGTAAATATTCAACATTGCGTCCAGGCAGCCCATCCCTCGTTAGTAGTAACACTACTGCTAAGTTGCCGGTTTTCTTAACTGTTTTGACTTTGATCACGAAAGAAGAACATTAGACCAACATCTACACAAAGTTGTTACCTTTTTCGAATGCTTGAAGCTGTATGTGAAGTGAAGTTGTTAAAACTGTACCTATTCGTAATCGTTTCTCATAAGGTGTCCCAGAAGTCGACGTCAAACCAGAAACGGGGAAAAAATCGGGAAATTCTACATTATGCGATGATCTTTTAGTTCCGATTACTACCAATGTTTTCTTAGACGGAATGACGGACAGTGTCATTCTATGTAGTGACAGCAAGACAGATAGTAAGGCGACTTCTATTAATTCATGATTGTGTAGTATCACCATGCCTATGTTCACCGTACAGGATACGCCAACTTGCACATCATTTATGAGGAATGTAGATGCAATGGTAGTGCTGCAGCTAGGCTTTATCGTGAGAGGTACCCAAAAGCTGCTTGTCAACTCCATCACTGAGTTTTTGTCAATGTGCAACGTTTACTCTCAGAGGGACAATTCCCAAATCCAGTACATGGTGAAGGAAGAATTTCCTTTCGTTACGAGCACGTCGTACTATGAGCAGTCGAAGAAGACTCGAGTCCACCGAATCCTGCGAAAGAACGAGCTCCACATGTACCACGTACAGCGAGTACAGTCTCTACAACCACGGGATTATCTTCCAAGAGCTG